AGAGTTACTGTTCCCTGAATCCACTGCCCCCTCCCCAAAGGGGAGCAGAATTTCTGATTTATTTGGATTTAGAAGTCACTGGGGTGTTGGAGTGAGAGCTGGAAATGTCCTGCAGGTATTGCCACCTTCTCTGCCCACCATGGGCACCTCTCTTTTCCTCTGCTTGTCTGTAGCTCCAACACAACCCCAATCTCTTGGGGTGTGGGAAACCATTCTGTGCAAGGCGGGGGAGAGGTGGATTTTCCAATCTATTTTTATATATTGAGGTCAGTGACAGTATTTTAAGAGTCCTGTGAGGCTCACAGTGAGCCAGGTGGATTAAGGGTCTAACCCAGTGACAGGCAGATTATGTGCAGCTACTTTCCCATAGTTAATTATTTTAAAGAAGTCACACAGCAAAATTTGCTCATTGATTTACACATCCCCCAAATTTAACATCAAAAATCAAATTCCCTGTTTGAAATTCCATCATTTGAAAGCAACCTGGGCTGGCAACTTGCAAGCTCAAATCAAGTTCAAGCATCTCAGGGCTTTCCAGCTTCTCATATGGTTCTTTAGGAACCACACTCAGCTCCAGGCTGCAGGTCCTCAAATACCTGCCCAGGTTCAGCTGCATTCCCATTTATTTTTATGAATAGCAGCTGTATCCTGGCTGGAGCAGGTTTATATTGCACCTGGACAGGCACAGAGATCAGGAAAACATCAGGATGTTTTCTTTACAGAAGATCCATATGCATCAAAATGCGCACAGTATCCCCCAGAAAGGAAAGCTGCACCTAACTTGCTCATGTCCTTTTAGAAAATTGAGAGGGTTAAATCTTTCAAAGTGTTTGGTCCTGATTCTCTTGGAGTCCTTGCAGGTGCCAGCACTGGCATTCCAGGCCCTACACAGACAAGGGCAGAGAAAACCCCACACCTGAGTGAGTGACTGGTGCCACAGCCCGAGCTCTCTGTGTTTACCTGCACAGCTGATCACATCAAACCCTCACAAAATACTTTCCATTTCTCAAGAATTCCTGCATTTTACAATCTGGAACCAAACTCTGGGTTCAAAGGCAGCTCCACTAATCTGTGTCCCTCTGGGAACACGAGTATCAGCCCAGGGTGATGCCACACTGGGATCCCCCCAGCATTCCAGCTTTCCCATGCCTGCCCTGCCAGGCAGCTTTTCCCCACTGTGATGAGCTTTAAAGCACAGAAATGGAGCCAAAATCCCCTTAATGCCCATGTGAAACATTTCCTGCCTGGCTCTTGTCTCCCCAAGAGGAGGGATGTGCTGCAGGCTCCAGAATAACACCACTGATATTACCTGACCCAGAGCTCCTGTGCTGCAGGGATCTGGCACACACCAAGCCCTCTGTGTCCCTAACAGGGTGTGAGGATAAAAGCTGAAGCCAAACAGATGGTCCTCGAAAAAATCTTCCCTAAAGTGTTCTGTGTACTAAAACATCACTTACCCAAACTCTCATCAAACTTGGCTTGATTTGTGAATCGCGAGCCAAGTTTGGAACAAAAATATTCAGCTGGAAATACGTGGTGGGGGGGGAAGGAGGCTTTCTGCTGCACTTAAATAATATAAAATGAAACTATTTCGTTCAAACCTTGGAAATGTTGAACAAAAATAGAACCCAACCCTCGTGTGTTTAAAGCAAGCACTGAGGTGGGGGGTGGTAATCAACACAGAACACAAAGTGCTGAGCACATGAAAAAAGAGAAGTGGAAGGACAACTGGAGCTCTAATGTATAATGACCTATCAACACATGCTGTAATGCACACAGAATTTCAGGGAAGGAGGAAATCACATCTGCAGGGAATATGAGCAGCTATTGTTTGAAGCACAGGGTGATGTTGCACAACCCTTCCAGGGCCCGATCCCGCTGCCACACGACCACAAAGGCAGCGTTTTCTCCTCAGCAGCCCTGAGCACCAACAGCTGGACACTCCAAATAGCAGCCACTCATTTTAGCATCCTGGACTGGCAATTATTTGAATTTTAAATTTTTAAAATTTACTATTTACTGAATATTATATCCAGTTAATAAAAGCACTTAACTAAGTGCCAGTAAGACATTCCCACTGAAAATGATACATAAAAAAAAAAAAAAAGATGCCAGGAGAAATGTTAAAAACCCTGAGTAAATGAACAGCATCACCTCAAAAACATTGAGGTATTTCCATAGTAGCTTCTCTTGAGTATCTAAATTTTATTTTTCAAATGTTCTTCTCTATCTGCTGATAGGACAAAGGGGAAAGGCCCCAGGTTGTGCTCAGGATATTAGGAAAAAGTTTTTCACAGAAAGAATGGATAAGAATTGGATCAGGCTTCCCCAGGGCAGTGTTGGAGTCTCCATCCCTGGAAGTTTTAAAGAAATGGATGTGGCACTCAGTGCTGTGGTTTAATTGAAAAGGTGGTGCCCAAAGGTTGGACTCAATGACCTGGGGGGTATTTTCCAGCCTAAAGGATTCCAGGATTCTATAAAAAGTGTTTGCAACAGCATGGGCATCTTTTAAACAGGAAAAAAGCAACAACATTTCTGAAATGATGCCACCATGAAATCCTGGCCTTGGTTTCATAGAGCTCTGATTTGAGCTGGGGAAAGTGAAGAGAAAAATTGATCTGCCCAGTAAATGATCAGTTCTCTCCAGACACAAAACACTTAATCTACACTTAAGAAACCCCTAATTCTTTAAATATAATTTAATTACGTGTCTGAATTTAAAATTGGGGTTTGCCTCTCACTAATTTAAGCTTTCATAGGAAGCACCTAAATCACGAGATGTCCTTGAAAAAGCACATCCCAAGTGTATTAAAGGAAAATCTGGTTAGAGGTAAGCAATTTTTCTTTTGTTTTTTTTTCTTTTCCTCAGTAAATGGAATTTTCTCGCTGCTGCTGAGCAGTTCTGTGTGTCTGTGCCATTAGACAGTGTGAATTATCTCACATTTTTTGCACGGTGTAGTTGGCTCTCAACGAGAAAGTCATTAGCTTAATAATCATTCCTGACAGATTCCAAGCGAGAGATTCCAACAGATACTGCAGCGACTCCTGGGGTAAATAAAAGGACAGTTTTATCTCCAAGATGGGAGAGAAGGCTGCACTAAATGATGAGTGTGCTTTCCCAGGGACTAATTGTTAAGCAGGAGTATTTACAGTTAAAGGATTGGGGAATGGGGCCATCATTGCCAGGCAATTATCTGTACACAAATAACTTTAATCCCTTGGCATTTTTATAGCCACTCCATTATTTATTTTACCATATATCCTATTGCAATACCATTCCCCTCTTACAAGTACATACTTTTTTGACTTCATATACGATTAAAATAAAACAGAGGAACACTTTGAAATGAGCTGAAGAACAATAGATCCCATTTAGCCATCAAATACAGCAGTATTTAACTTTTGTGCTTTTGATCAATATTTATGTGACAAGCTATTCATTACTCTTCTCCTCCTCCACTGAAGCTGTTGTTCCTCCCACAGCCTGATGTGCACTTTTGTGTATTTAATTTATAAGTTTCCATGGAAAAGAAGTATTCAAAGGAAAAAAGAAAAAAGAAAAACTGCTGATACAGCACGTGGATCTTTCTACCAAGCCACAAATCTTTTCTAGTGTTCATCTTAAACTGAAAGTAATTCTGGGAAACAAATTAACGATATAAATCACATTATCATTATTCACAGAAAGATACTCGGTTGTAACTCTCTCAGAGAGCTCCAGTGAGTAGCTAAAAGGCCTCTCTCTATATGGAGAATGCCTGTTTCTAATTAAATGATCTAAAAATAGAGTTGCACATACATCTAGGACCAAGCCATCTGTGTTATCTCTCCAAGATAAGCCATTCTACACCCACCCCGATATCCCTTTCATCACTGCACAAATTCAGGACTGGGCCCAGTCCTTCTTTCCTATTTAGGATGGGACAGAGGAAAAGAGGGGAAAAAATTTAATCCAGACAAGTTTTTTTTGAAAGTCAGAGCCCTTGTTTGGAAGTATCTTTTCACACCTACTTGTGTCAATCAGCAACGTGATCCAAAGCCATGTCCTGCAAGCAGTGGCAGTAGTCAAGCTGGATTTCTCCATGGAACACTTTCCCAATCCAGCAAGGAAAGCTGTTTCTAATTGGCTCTCTGAGATTTCTGCATTGTTTTTGTGGGTTTTGCTTGGGGTTTTTTCCTTCCTCTTTTTTTTTAATTTTTTAACTCTTTAAAACATCACTTTTTCCCCTCCTCACTGAGATAATTGAAATAATGACATAAGAAGTGAGCTGGAATCAAACTGGACCTGAGTTAAAAGGTTGGGCAAGAGATTCCCATGACAAGTTTGGTGATAGTAAACAACAAACTGTCTTCATACTTCAAGGAGACAAAACCCAGCCTTTTTTTCCTAAAAGCATCTTGTCTGAGGGGAAAAAAGGAGGAACACTTATCAGGGCCTGTCAGGAGGGGGAAACAATCTCAGAGCCAGTGACAGATCCTTCCCCTGTTAGGCAAAGAGAAAGCAGAGTGTGAAGGGAGAGTCATCCCTCACTCCCAACACAGCACAGGGATGGAATTTGGGGGTCTCCCATGGGATAATTAAGTCCAGATAAAGCCTCAGGCTGCAGCCAGCACAGCAATTATTTACACTGGTCCCTAAATTTCTTGCTGTCAGACTGTATTTACTCAAACAAACCTGTTTGTTGTGCTTACCCCCCCCTCAGTTTTGGTTTTGCTGTTGCATGATAGAATCTCTAGGAAAGAAATTTTTATTATTTCACTTTAAACTTTGATTTCTGCCATCAGGAAGAAGAATGCATCTCTGCAGGAAAAAGGTATTTATTTCAACCAAAAACCTTGTCCATTTCTTAAATTAAATAAGCAACAATTTTAGATACGTGGCAACAACAATATAAAAAACACTCTTATAATCTGTAGGATGAAAGAGCATTGAATTCTCCTTACAGCCTTTAAATTGTTACACATCTCAGAATAAAAAAATAGGCAAAATGAAGACTAACCTTGGAATAAATGCCATTCACTGGTCTCCACTGTTCTCCATTCAAATGGAAAGGAATTGTTATCTCATATTCTTTGGACTGGTCCTTTGACATCTGCAGCCTCGGGGACTCCACTTTGCTGTCCACATTCTCACCTAAGGACAGGGAGAAGCACTCCAGGTTAGCTGGGAAGAGCATCTGACAGGCTGATCCTTGTTATTTAAGGGACTTGGCAGCAGACTTGAAAAGGAAATAATTCAGGAAAATGATTAAACATTAAACTCGTAATGTCAGTGTCGAAACCTACACAAATTTCAGAGAACCTGTGAAACCAGAGGGGCTCAGGGGGAAGAGTTGGAGGGGGATTAGATGGTGGCAGCAGGAGACAAAAACTACACATTAAGAGCAGAGATATCAGGATGCAAGGATGCCATCATGAGGGATGCACAGTCTCATTAGTTGGGGAAAAAAAAGTCTGGAAGAGAAAGAGAATATAAACTCTCATTGAAATAACATTCTACTCCTACACAGGCAAATGACTTCAATTCATACCACCAGGTCAAAAAGCTGTTTGCATGCAGCATTTATCAAGTGTTTTTTCTCTCCCTAAACATATTAATGGCATTGTGCCTGTCAAGGCAGAGCCCTAAAATCAACATCACAGGACAAAACTGAGAATAAATCAAAGAGAAGACAGGGATGGCTTCCAGGTGCCACAGGGTAGTCAAAGCTCTGGTGGGGCTTGCCACATTCTCTGTGCTCACCTAATGCTCTCAGAGGATAAAGAGTCATATTCTGAGCAGAATTACCCCCATTTAGTTACTGTTAGAATTAGTTTAAAAACATATGTGCTGTCATTGTGGCCAAGCCAATGTGAGCAGGAATAAAGTCTGGTATTTTTCAACACCCTTTTAAAAATACAACACTTTACCTAAAACACACACACACACAAAAAAAATCAAAACCAAACCAAACCCTCACAAGATAAAAAGATAAAATAAATCAGGGAGAGGGAAGTTGTTGGTTATACAGAGTTCTCACACCCTTTAATGCAGCCCAAGTGACAGAGGGCTGGCAGGACTCAGTGTCAGCCCTTAGAAGAGATGATCCAAACCTGGCTCCAGATTTGGTTCTCCCCCGGAGCGGCACATGAGACACCATCTCATCAGCCTGGGAGGGTCTAGACAGAACCTCCAGCCCTTTATTCTCATTATCAGGCAGGAAGCTCCCTCCTCAGAACAGGAATTTATGAAGCATATCTCAGCAAAAGGAGAAAAGTTTGGCTCCAGCCCTGCTCTCCTTTCTCCTTGGCTCACTAGAGCAACCTCAACCACACAAATTAAATGACTCAGGCCCTTCTATTACTTTGTAGGATTTGCATTCTGAAAGTACCATGAGATCTGAGTTTTCAGAACCCCTTGGAGGATCCTTATCCTCCCGTGGATGCATTGTCTGCACGGTTTCCACACAGTCTGACACCGTGGAGCTGCCACAGTGACATCAGGAAACATCAAAGTCTCTCTGATGCTCCTCCATGATCCTGATCCTCCCTTCCTGATCATTCTCCAAAGCATGAGCTTCACAGCATTACCCAAAACAGCAGAAAAAAGGGAGGGGATCAGCATTTGTGCACAGATGTGTTATTCACTGGACAGCTTGGTCTGGAAGTGCAGCAGCTATAAAAATATAATGGGAAGAAGGGAGAAAAATCCACACAAAATGTGGTTCAGTTTTGCCACTCCTACTTCTCTTCCATCCCAGTGAAGCGATGCTCGTGGTGCGTAACAAAGCAAGGTTACAATGAGCAAATTTAATCTTCCACATGTGCTCATTTATCTGCTGAAAACGCTCATTGTGCAGAAGTGTTGATAGTCTGGAGACAGGCATCAAGACAGGTTTATAGGCAGCAGTTATATCTTTATTGGAAAAGATAATTTATTTGGGGGGGAAACAAAGCAGACAAGCTTCAGGGTTTGCAAACTCTTCTGAAGCCACAGCATTTATAAAACACAAGATCAATTTCTGTCTAGTTGCTTTCCCTGAGCCAGATACTTGGCTGCTTATCTGAATGTTTTTATTTAAATTATTGGGTGTGATAAAAATCACGCTTCCTGCGGAAGGCAGAGCAAGCACTGCAGCCCAATTTTGGGCCTCATTCTGGAGAAAATTTAGGCACATGCATTGTGCACTTGCTTAACTCCCAGCTGCCCTCAGTGTGATATAAGCACAGTACGGTGTCTTTAGTATATCAAATGATGTTTTTCTCAGCAAATTTCATTATATTTATGGACTGGGTATATTTCTGAAAGACTGCAAAATAAAGATATCTGTATAGCTGATGAATAAACTCTAACCCAGTCTTTAAATCATTAAAAAAAAGTATGGGGAAGATCATTAGGTAAATCCTTTAAATAGGTTTCTGCAGCCTGATTGCAAAGCTTTGAAGAACACAAATAAGAAAATAAGGCAGAAAATAAGGGATCAGAGCCAGGGAAGAGCAACCCACACTTATCTTGAGTAGGAGACATCTGAAAGGCCCCTGAGCAATTGGACACAGACATGGGGAGAGGAATATTCTACATCAGGAGGGAAAAAACCCACAAAAAATGTAAGGAGAGAGCCAGGCCAAAATAATAAAGCAGGAATAGTGCAGGAAACTTGGAAAAAATGGGATAAAACCAGGTGGGATAGTTCCCGGCAACCTTGGAGAGGCTTCGGCCCACACAGAGGGCCCTCACCTCAACTGGAGCCACCAAGGAATTTATCCCAGTCAGGAATACTTCACCCAGCTCCCTTGCTCAACATCTGAACAAAACACACTCCCAGCTTCCTTCTGCTGTTCTGGGACAGCATCTCCAAGCACAAAGCCAGCCCTCCCAGGGAGCATCACGGGGACACCGGGAGAGGAGCGCGGTGGGACGGGCGCGGACATCCGCGCCAAGGAAGGGTTTCCATCACCCCAAACACATCCCCGAGCTCCCAGAGCTGCAGTTCCTCACTCAGACGTGCTGGTATTTCCTCTCTGCCACTCTGCATCTCCCTTCCCCGTTTCCAGGAGGATTTCTTTGAAGCTGAACCATTAGAGTTGTTTGTGTTCCATTAATAATGAGGCCTCCTCTCTACAGGGACTCTTGGTACTACAGCAGTATAAATAGTGTAATAATGGAAATCAGAGAATTGAAATTTCGGTAATGTGTCATGAGAGGAGAAGAAAATCAGGCCATCTGCAATACCAGAAAGTTATATTAGACCCAGGTTTCCTATCTTTTGTGTCACATGCACCTACTTACTCACCTACTTATTTTCCATTGCAGTGAAATTCTGTCCAGCTCCTCCTGACGCAAGCTCGTCTCCCACTTTTTCACATGAAAAACTTCACAGTTGTGTCTGTTTTCTATTTTCAGCCTGCACTGAAGGTAATGCTTTTGATCCACAAGCAGCCCACAAGCTGATGCAGCGCTCTTTATTCCCCCCCCCCCAGTAATATAAAAGCTACTTTGTACAAATAGTGAGATGAGTAGATGTTACCTGTCAGTGACTTTTGTGTGGCTTAAATATTTTTCATCTGCCATGTACTTCTACAGCTTTTCTGCTTTGCACAGTATCATACAAGAGCTTGTTGGCAAAGAAGTTAAGAATGATTTCCATCTTTTTGCTTTTTATTTCAGTTCCTCCGAGCTCTGTGCAAAATAAACTCCAAGCATGTGATGTGACATCTTTGCTTCGCGGCCACTGCCTCCTGAAAAAACCCAGACACTCTCTGGATTTGCATTTGCTTAAAATTAATAAGCTTTTAGTGAGGCATTTATTTGTCCTCACGACAAACAAAGAGGTGAATGCACCCAGTGCTGAGTAGCTCTGGATAAAATGGGATTAAGTGCAAGGAAAATAGAGTATGTCCCACTAAATGAACACCCCAGCCCTCCTGCCCATGCTGGTTGTGCCCCCCCAGCACACAGAGCAGGACAGGAGTCAGACCTGGGCTGGTTTATAAACAACATCCATCTCTTACACAGAGATTTACAGAAAAGGCAGCTGTGATGCTGAGCTTCCTTCAGCTCTGGATGGGCCCGTTCTCATCCCACACAATAACAGGGATAACAGAATAAGTCGGTTCAGAGAATCCCGCAGTGGTTTGGGTGGGGAGGGACTGTCAAATCATCCCATCCCACCCCAGCCATGGCAGGGACACCTTCCCCTGTCCCAGCTGCTCCAGCCCCAATGTCCAGCCTGGCCTTGGACACTTCCACAGCTTCTCTGGACACCCTGTAGCAGACCCTCAGCATCCTCACAGCCAAGAATTCCTTCCCAATATCCCATGTAAATCTACCCACTTTCAGCTTAAAGCCATTCCATGTGTCCTGTCCCTCCATGCCTTGTCCCCAGTCCCTCTCCAGCTCTCCTGGAACCCCTTTAGTCCCTGGAAGGGGCTCTGAGCTCTCCCCAGAGCCTTCTTTTCTCCAGGTGAGCACCTCCAGCTCTCCCAGCCTGTCCTCACAGGAGAGAGGCTCCAGCATTCCATCAGCCACGAGGTACTCAAGGACTTACACAGTGCGTAACTGTGTGTCCCAGAGCCTCACAAAAGCCCAGCCAAGGTCCCACTGATGCTGTGGGATGTCCATTTCCATCCCAGACTGGAGCTCTGTCTCCTCACACTGTCCCCAAACACCCCTGCACTTACTGCTGAGCTATGGAAATTACAGAAGTGAGGGAATAAAAAAGATTAAATTAAATTATCCTTGTGTTACCTTTCCTACTACAAACTGCTCAAAATTGTAAGCAGCCTGTCCTCATTTTTTTTTCTGCAACAAAACACCCAAAGCACTGGAATAATCTTTGGATTGAAAAGAACAATGGAACAGAGTAATCCTTCTGCAAACTTAGATCAGCGAAGGGCAGTGCTCTGTGCCACAGGCAATGCCCTGCGAGTCAGGAAGGACATCCTTTATCCATTTCCCTCCCCATTTCCTTCAGCTTCCTCAGATTAGCTCTCAGTTTGTGGGATCCATGGCCTGGATGGGTCATTCCTGGCTATGGAGGAAGGGATTTGCACCTGGCTGCATCCAGAGCTTGCTCAACCATCGGCACCGGGTTTGGGGCCAGCTCCTGAGGTATCCCCGGAGCCTCCACTGCTGCCTGGGGGCCCATCAGATGG